CCCGCAGCTTGAAAATCACACTGGATACATTCTCCTTAGAGGAGAATGGAGAAGGGATTGTGGCATGACCATACCCCATGGGGAGTACTTTCTGTCTGTCTCTAGCTGTCTCTCTATGGAGAGCGCACGCATCCTAAAGCAAACTTAGAAAGAAAAACACTAAGGCATAGAGTTAAAGGAACTTGTCTAAGATCGCATAGTCAATAAGTGGAAGAGGAAGGATTGGAGCTCATATATTTGTCTGCCTTGGTACTATCTTATTCTTTCAGGCAACAGAGATTTTTTTTAAAGAGATTTTTGTGATAGGCACATGTGCTCTCCAGAAAGAGAGGGAGAGAGAAAGGAGAGCTCACCCCCAAAGGAGATGGCCATACCACAATCCCTTTTTCTTAATTCTCTGGATTTTGAGCATGCACACACAGGCACCTGGTGTGAGTTTCAAGCTGCCGGGTCTAGCATTCTAACTGCAGTCTACCATGTGGGAATGCAGTGACATAACCATTATGTATCTGCTGGACCCCTACAGAGACAATTTTTAAAAATCTTGCTACAGTGACACATTTGTTGGTGGTTGGCACTGATGAGAGACTTCCTAGCATTATTATACATTATTGCATAGGAATTATCCAGAAATTTATGTAGATTTTCAAGTCTATCATATTTAAATATGAAGTTCACCAGTATTATTATAGTTTATAAGAGTTCAAACTCCATTTTGCCATGCTTAAAAGGCGTAATGGCTGACCAGTTCTGTGTTCAGATCCTCATAACATTCTGCCCTGACTAAAGATATTGTCAGTTGTTCTTCCCTACAGCATAAACCTTTCATACCAGTTAGTAAGACTTTTCAGACTTGGAGGTACATCAGTAGCCTAAACACTACTCCATACTGCTCCATGATTTCTACTTTCTCAACCCTGAAACTAGCCAGGATAATTTGTTATGTTGATTTTTGTACAATATAATAAAATATGCCAAGATTTGTACAAGACTTGCAGATTATGGATCTTAAGAACTTCAGTTACCCAATTATGCTAAATTATACTTTTTAGACATTATTGCCCTAAAAATAATCATTTTTACCATCTATTTACTGCGTGCCACCTGATATACTGGGAAATATACACCAGGATTTAAATTTTTTTTTCCCCAAAGGGTACGTGCCAGAGATAAAGAGCGAGATAGCACTCCCCAATAGGGTGTGATGATGCTGCAATCCCTTTTCCTCCATTTCTCTGTTCTATCAAGATTTCAGGCACACAGGTACACACAACTGGTCTGTTTTTCAAGCCATCAGGGTTGGGATTCAAACTGGTGATGTCCATCCAGGATCCATCTCCCTTAGTCAACAGGCCATGGGGCTAGCCCCAGGATTTTTGTAAAGACTGAAAAGAAGTAATTTATGAAGCATTTCTTACCATAATTTTACAGTGAGAGAACTGAAATTTAGGGAGGTTAAGGACCAAGATTACACAGTAAAAGAGCCAGGACTTAAATTCAAGTTTGTTACCAAAGTCTGTGTTCCTAAAACCACTGTAGTATAATACTGTAATGTGATTTTTAAAAATTTTTGTTAAAACTAATGTACACTATCAACATTTGGGTTGATATTAGCTGAATAGAGAGTGATCTGTTCTCAAATTTTAAAAAGATGTATTTAATTTACAATTATTGCTTGCTTGCTTCTGTTTGAAGAGTGAACCAAAAGGAAATCAACAAATGTTAACAGATTTATTAACATGGACATTAGTTTTAATATGTTATTTGAAGAAGGTAGATTATAAAACTATACAGGATGCACTCTTAAAAAGTCTATAAATCAAGCAACAGAGAAAAATATTAATTCTAGATCATGGCTCTCACTTTTGACCACCCTTAGAAAGACTTCAAATAATTCTTCTTACAAGTTTTTAAAAGTCATAATTTATTCATACATCAGGGTTATTTTATTTTTCTTGCTGTGATTGAATTAGATAGTAGGTTTTGTTGTTGTTACTTTTTTCTAATGATAAAGAGTATATGTGTGTGTATATAAGGTGGGTGGGTGGGGCAAAGCACCTTCAATATGGTCTTACCCAGCATGTTTTCAGGCTGACCTCAGGAACTTAACCCATGGTCAGCCATATGACTTCTAGACTTTTAGGCTACTTGTGTTATGGCCGTGCCCAGTGACTGGGCCTTGATAGTAGTGTATTTTAATTTTAATTATAATCTAAATTCATTAGTTATTGATACCATCAGAGAGGTTTTCACATTCCTTTTTATTTTTTTTAAGAATTATTTAATTTTAAGGGCTGGCAGGTGGTGTGCTTGAGTGCACTGGACTCCTTCATGGTTGACCAAGGTTCAAGTCCTGGACCTGATGGCTTGCTTTCTCACTTTTCCTCTCTCTTGCTCTGTCCCTCTCTCTCAAATTAAAAATAAAAATAAAGTTAAATAAAAATTTTTAAAAATACTTATTTAATTTCATTATTATTATTTTTAATTTGTTATAGGGCACATGTGTTCACCAGAGAGAGCAAGACAGAGAGGGAAGGTTAGAAAGCAAGCCAGCAGGTCCAGGACTCAAACTGCAGTTGGCCACATGGGAGTTCAGTGCCTTAACCACCATGCCACCTGCTGGCCCCAAACTTTCATGTCTTTTGAAAAAAAAAAATCATTAGAACTGGAGCCAGCAAATAACGAGGTTAAGACAGCTGGATCCCAGACAGCTGGATCCCACATGGCTGACTGTGCAGTTCGAGTCCTGGGCCTGGCAGCTTGAAAATCACGCAAAGCATTTGTTCATGTCCAAAGTTTTGAGAGGAGAGTGAAGGAGAAGGGATTATGGTGTGGCCATCTCCTATGGGGGGTTGATTTCTCTCTGTCTCTGGTGAGTATACTTGTCCCATAACAAACAAAACTATTGAAAACAAACATAAAAAACAACTTAAAAATTATTAAAGATGTTTTTATATTTTAAATATGTTAATTGTAGATATCCAGACAAGCCTATGTCCTTTTCATAATTCATAATTTCTTTGTCCCCCCTCTAGGAGCTGCAGCGGACTAAGCAAGAAGTCCTCTCTTTACGAAGAGAGAATTCTACATTAGATGCTGAATGCCATGAAAAAGAAAAGCACATTAATCAACTACAAACAAAAGTGGCAGTTTTAGAACAAGAAATCAAGGATAAAGACCAGCTTGTTTTAAGAACAAAAGAAGCGTTTGATACAATCCAGGAACAAAAGGTCTAGTTTAAAATTTTGCTAAGCAAATTGATGATCACATTTATAAGTCATGCTTTTCCTAAACAAATATAAATTGTCCTAATTATTCATGTTTTTTACAAAATATATCAGGTGGTTTTAGAAGAAAATGGCGAGAAAAATCAGGTCCAGCTAGGAAAACTTGAAGCTACAATAAAATCATTATCAGCAGAACTTTTAAAGGTTTGCTTTAAAAAATTTAGTAGCATATTAATATTTCATTAGATTATGTAGAGATAAACATATGAAGCTTTTTTATAGGCAAATGAAATTATCAAGAAATTACAAGGGGATCTGAAAACTCTAATGGGTAAATTGAAACTGAAGAATACAGTTACTATTCAGCAAGAAAAACTCCTGGCTGAAAAAGAGGAAAAATTGCAAAAGGAACAAAAAGAATTGTTAGATGTTGGACAATCTCTTCGAATTAAAGAGCAAGAGGTAGTTACGATTTTGTATTTTGTGTTGTGAATAGCTTACTTGCTTCCTCAGCTACATTTTTTTTTTGAGTCATCTATCCAACTTTTTCTGTTATTATTATTATTTTTAATTTGATCAGAGAGAGACAGACAGAGGGAGAGGGAAAGTGAGAAAGCAAGCTGCCAAGACCAGGACTTGAACCACAGTCAACCATGTGAGAGTCCAGCTTTCCAACTACTGTGCCACTGCTGGCCCCATATTTCTTTAACTTCTACTTTGTTATGTTAGAGAATGGCTTTGGCCTTTTTTTTCATAAGAGAATATGACTAGATTCAACAGAAGTTAATCTATTAAAATTTGGAAAGTTAATCATCGTGGCTAAAATACTTTGATTGCTCATATATAGGTACGTGTGTGTGTATGTACACATATACGTATCACGTATAGTTGAGCTAATAATTTTATTCTCGTTTAATAATACTAGTTTGTTTTTGTTTGTTTTTTTAGAGTTTTTTTTTTTTTCTATAGGGCATATGCTCTCACCAGAGACACAAATACAGAGAAAATAAGAAATCATCCCACAGGGGATTGGTCACATTTTCAGTCTCTTGTCTTCCATTCTCCTCTTGGGATTTTGAGCACACATGCATATACTCCTGTCCTGAGTTTCAAGCCACTGGGTCCAGGACTTGAACTGTAGTTGGCCATGTGAGAGTCCAGTGCTTCAACCACTATGCCACCTGCTTGCCCCAATCTTAGTTTTTAAAAAAATTATTAATTAATGGTACAGGTTGAGCATCACTAATCTGAAAATTTTAAATCCAAAATGCTCCAAAATTCAGAACTTTTTGAGGGTCTACGTGATCACAAGTAGAAAATTCCATAGCTGACCTCATGTAATAGGTTCCAGTCAAAATACTGCAGTCAGAACTACTGTCTAGGACCAGCACAAGAGCACATTTGCGGGCCAGCTGGGTGGCCTGGTGGTTTGAGTCCTGGACCTGTGACTTGTAAAACACACCAGGCATGTGTGCCTATGTGCCCAAAATGCTGAGAAGGACTGGAGAAGGGATTGCGTTGTAGCCATCTCCCAGGAGGGTGCTTTCTCGTTTTCCTTTCTTCCTCACTTTGTCTCTTTGTTGAGTGCACATGTCCACAGCAAATTTTAAAAACTTTAAAATAATTTTTAAAAAAGTTGTACTTTTGGAAATCAGATCTCACATGGCCAACCATGGTTTAAATTCCTGCCCTCATGGCTTGAAAAACATACTGGTCACATGTGTATGTGTTCCTAAAATCCTGCTGAGGAGAAAAGGAGAAATGGAGGAAAGGGACTGTGATGTGTTCATACCCCATTTCTTTCTCTCTCTGGGTGAGCACACGTTCCCGTTGGCAATAAAAAAAGATACTGTACAAAATTCCTTTTGGGCTCTGTGTATATGGTGTATATGAAACATAAATGAATTTTATGTTTAGGCTTGGATCCCATCCCTAGGATATCTCATTATGTTTATGCACATATTCTGAAATCTGAAATTTAAACTTTTTGTCCTAAGCATTTTAGATAATGGGTATTCAACCTTTTCTACATCTCTTCAGTATTTTAACCTTTATTTTGCCTGACTTACTGTGATAATTGATATATTTCAGGTATGCAAATTACAAGAACAATTAGAAGCAACAGTTCAAAAACTTGAAGAAAGCAAACAACTTCTAAAAAATAATGAAAAGTGTAAGTAGTTTTATGTAAATAGTTTGTTTATGTAAGTAGTATGTTTGCAGTTTTTATTTTGAACCTGAAAATCTTACTTGAGCTTGTAACAGTATAGGTAAATCAAGATATTGCTATATGCAAATAATTTCTACTCTAAATGTACCTTTTTAATGTCTTTGCTGTAATAATTATGTCTTTTGCCCTATAATATAGTTATTCATCATTATACAGAAAACAATATCACATATGTCAATAACCTCAAATGGAAAGTATAAAAAATATTGACTTATTTACTGATTAAATTCCAAACTATTCCCAATAGTAATATAAATTATTCGAAACTAAAATAAAATATTAAACTTTTTATTTTTTTGGTTGGTATAGGGTATATGCACTCACTAGAGAAAGAGCAATAGAGAAAGGGAAAGTGATAATCACCTTCCGTGGGGTATGGCAGTGCAGCAATCCCTTTTCCATTCTCTTCGGACCTTGGGCACACATATACATGCTCCTGGTGCGATTTTCAGGCTGCTAGGTCCAAGACTCGAACCATGCAATTGGCTATGTGGGATTCAGCTGCCTTATCCACTGTGCCACATGTTGGCCCAGATCAAGCTTATAATTTGTAATAACATTGTCTTAGTTTTTAGTACTGGGTACCAAATAGAAGATTATGAACTTTAAAGTGTAAGATTTCATCTTAGAAGCAAAAGCTTTCAAAGAGATTCTTTTTTTGTTTTGTTTTGTTTTTGAGAGGTTTTTGCTATAGGACGCGTTTGCTCACCAGAAAGACAGACAGAGACAGAAAGTGAAAAATCACCCCCCAGAGGGGATGGTCACGCCACAATCCCTTCTCTTCCATTCTCCGCTCGGGATCTTGGGCACACGTGCACATATACCCTGCATGAGTTTAAGCCACCGGGTCTGGGACTCGAACTGCGGTTGACTACATGGGAGTCCAGTGACATAACTGTTACACCAATTGCTGATCCCATCAAAGAAATTCTTGACTTGCAGAAGTGTGTACTTTTGACAGTAATAGAATAAGGAGCCCAATGTGAGTTATTAAAATAATAATCGTTAGGGCCAGCAGATGGTGTAGCGGTTATGTTGCTGGACTCCCACATGGCCACCCATGGATTGAGTTCTGGACCTGGTGGCTTAAAGAATCACACCAGATGGGGACCAGCAAATGGCGTAATGATTATGTCGCTGGACTCCCATGTAGCCAACCACGGTTCAACTCCTGGACTCGGAGGCTTAAACTCATGCCCAACACATATGTGAGATCCTAAGATCCCAAGAACAGAATGGAGGAGAAGGGATTGCTGTGTGACCATCTCCCCTGGGGGAATGATTTCTCACTTTCTGTCTGTCTCTGTGTCTCCAGCGAGTGGACTTGCCCTATAGCAAAAATCTCTCTTAAAAAAAAAGAAAAATCACACCAGATGTATCTGTGCCCAAGATCCCAGGAGGAAAATGGAGGCGACAGGATTGTGGCATGGCCATCCACCCTGTGGGGTGGTTTCTCACTTTCCCTTTCACTGTCTCTGTCTCTGATTCTCACCCTTCCCCTCACTATAAGCACCCATGCCCTAAGGCAAAAACCTCTTTAAAAAAAACAAAAAACTTTAGTGACAAAAATTGAGGTGAATCTATATTGTTCTCCTGTGACATTAGTTTTAAAAACTTAAAATTTACAAAAAAATCTTAATGTAATTTTTAAATAATTTATTTAATTCCATTTGTTATTATTTTTTCATTTGAACAGAGACAGAGAGAGAGAAAGGAGATGCTAGAAAGCAAGCCACCAGGTCCAGAACTTGAACTGTGGTCAACCATGTGGGAATCCAGCACTCTTATGTACCACACCACCTGCTGGCCCCAAAAATCTTAATATAATTTTGAAATCTTTAAAGTGGTTAAAAAATAGTCAAATAAACTGCTTTTCCTTGCTTTGTTCTTTCATTTAAGTAATCACCTGGTTAAACAAAGAACTAAATGAAAATCAGCTAGTGAGAAAGCAAGATGTACCGGGACATTCTGCTACTCCAGCCGCACATTCTAGCAGCAACACAATCAGAAGTGGAATTTCTCCCAATCTGGTAAGATTTAAAATAAGATATAGATGATCTTAGAGAATTTGTTGAAATGAAAGTATTCCGATTGTTAGAAAGTCTCCATAAGTTAAAGTCTTGGTACTCATACAGACTGGAGTTACAGTTATTCTCACTGAAGTACAGTTAGTCTCTACTTCACTGTCCCCTTATAAGTGGGACATAAGCATCCTTGCCCTTAGCAAAAGGCTATTTTAAGGGCACACTTCTTTGTACGACTTGGCTGGGTATAGAAATCATTCAGTACAGCGAGTCAGATGGTGATTCAGGGGTAGAATGCAGTAATCTGCAAGGCAGTCTGACATAGGAAGGTTCCTAGTTCCAGTGTGAGATCTTCCTGAGTAAGCCAAGCACATGCGTTCCCATAATCTGGGGCTGGATGAAGCTGGGGTTGGACTGCAGTGTTAGGACTCTGTTGGGTGGGTGGGGAGGAGGGTCTGTCTGTCTCTCTTGTGGGAGAAATGGATAAACAAAATATAAAATTTCAAAGGAGAAACAATTCAGTACTTACTAAAATAATGCCATCTATTTTTAGTACACATGAATATGCATACACATCACATACACAAACCGTATTTAAGATACTATAAGAGTGAAGTACAGCTGCCCAGTGACTTTCTGGTTTAGGAAACCAGATCCCACATGGCCAACTGTGGTTCATATCCGAGCTCCAGAAACTTGCGAAACATGCCAGGTATATGTACGTACCCCAGAGTTCCCACAGGGTGGAAAAATGGAGAAGGGATTGTGGAGTGACCACATCCCACTATAAGAGGTGCTTTTTCCTCGTCCTTCTCTCTCTTTCTCTGTCTTTGGCAAGTACATGTGCCCTCTGGCAAATTAGGGGGGAGATATGGAGAGGATTCAGGGTTTGGGTTAAGTTTGGAAATGTGACTGGAAAAAACCTAAGCTGAATCCTATCAAAGGAAAAGCGAAAGAAAAGTCCTGTTAAAAGGCTTGTCAGCTCTGGATTCTAAAGAAACTCATTATGATATGTCAGCTTTCTGACTCCTTTTTCTTTTCAAGAAATAAAAGGGGAGTACAAGAAAAGCTGCTTCTACTTAGAAGGCGGCCTGGTACTATCAGGTAGCTAGGCATAGATGTTGTTAGGAGCTTGGCTAGCCCTCCCAGGTGGACCTTGGACTCTCTTGTTGAACATAACTTCACAGAACATTGACATCTGACGAAGATAATCTGTGATCTGGATGGGCTGGGACAACATTAAGACACTCCATAATCATGTCTGTACACAGACAAAAATAACGTCCCCAAACCACAGAAATAGCCAACCATCCTCTATCATGGCTGACATGAGTAGACGCTTCTTCTTTACCAACGACAGTTTTATTCCTCCTGCTTTATTAGATAGGATATATTCGGACACCCATTCATACTTTAATTGCCACTTCCTGTTAGCTTCTGATCCACAGCAAAGTTCTACTTTCTTTTTTTATTTTTAAAGTTCATTTCTTTCTTTCTTGAGATACAAAGAGAGACAGAGAGAGAGAGACAGAGAGAGAAGAGAGAGACACTTCCAAACGGGTTTTCATGCCACCCTCTATCCCTAGCCTCAGCCAGCCTGGATATCAGGCAAGCATTACACAGAGGCCTGAGGTCACAAACCTGAGACTTTCCCATGCGGATCAAGCATTGTTGAGTGTTGTGTTATCTGTCACTGTTTCACCATCTGGCCCCCTCAAAGCTCTACTTTCTTTCCCTTAAATCACCTAACGTGCCTAGGGGTGTAAGTAGGTGATATAGTGGGTTAAGGCGTGGGACTCTCACATGGGCAACTATGATTCTAGTTCTGGACTCAGCAGCTTGAAACATGCTGGGCATGTGTGCATGTGTGCCCAAAATCCTAAGAGGAGAGTGAAGAAGAAGGGATTGTGGAGTGGCCATCCCCCAGGGGGGAGTCAATTTCTCTGTCTCTCTCTCTCTCTCTCTGTCTCTGGTGAGCGCATACGCCCTATAGCAAAAATCTCTGAAACAAAAGATCACCTAACGTGCCTAAAGGTAACAAGTCCCTTTTACACCCACTCACTGAGACATAGATGCCCTTGATGTACAGTTATCACTAGCCTCAAGGAGCAATGAGCCCAGCTTAAGCAACTACAGGTGTGTTTCTGGTAGTTCTTGGAAGGCATTGACAGAGGTTTAAAGTTGAATTTTTAATCTACTTTGGTAAATCCAGTAGTACTAGATGTCTTGAGAAAGAAAAGGATTACTATTAAATTGGAAAAAGGTGCAGAAAGAAGTACTTTGGCTGAATTAAATAAATTTGAAAATGTTCAGGCTTAACCTGGAATGACTTATTATAAATAGTTGTATAAAAGGTGTTTCAGTTGTGCAGCCACTTATATATACTACTGTTTCTTAAGATTTATATTTCATTTATCCTTTTATTATAAAGATAAACTTTGTTTTTATGACATGGGTTAATACAGACTTCACTATGCTGAAAATTTAGCAGCATAGCATATTATTTTCTCAATTAGTCCATTTAAGAATACTGCTTTTGTTTTTATTTAATGTGGCAGAAAATTGTTTTTATTTTATGTCTGATTGACCTTTTATTTTCAAAATTATTTATTTAATTTTATTTGTTAATTGTTATTCAATTTGACCAGAGAAAAAGAGAGAGAAAGCAAGCTGCCTAGTCCAGAACTCGAACCACAGTCAGCCATATGGGAGTCCAGCCCCTTAACCACCACATCACCTGCTAGCCCCTGATCTGATTGACTTTTTGATCTGTGACTCTCTTTTTTTATTATAGTTTTTTTATAAACAATTATTTATTTAATTTTTATTTATTCATTTATTTTATTTTAATTGGACCAGAGAGAGACATCGACAGAGAGAGAGAGAGGGAAAACGAGAAAGCCAGCCACCAGGTTCGGGACTCCAACTGTGGTTGGCCATGTGAGGGTGTCCAGCACCTTAACCACCACGGCACCTGCTGGTCCCACGACTCCGTTTTGGGAGGCCTAGAGAACAAGATGGTTTAGAAGTCTTTAACTCTGGGAACCAGCAGTTAGCGTAATGGCTATGTCGCTGGACTCCCACGTAGTCGACCGCAGTTCGCGTCCCGGACCCGGTGGCTTAAAACTCACGCTGGGCGCGTGTGCGTGCGTGCCCAAGATCCCGAGAGGGGAATGGAGGAGAAGGGATTGCGGCGTGACCATCCTCCCTGGGGGGTGATTTATCGCTTTCTGTCTCTCTGTCTCTCTCTGTCTGTCTGGTGAGCGCACGCGCCCTATAGCGAAAACCTCTCCAAAAAAAAAAAAAAAGAAGTCTTTAACTCCATTCAAAGGCAGGCCACTTGCACAACCTCTGTGAAAAGCCTTTTGAGTTAGAGGTGCTCAACTTCTTATGTGTAATAAAGCAGAGTTTTACAGTGTCATGATACACAAAATTGGCCACTCAGATAGTGCTCTCCATTGTTAGTAGTTTTAATAGATGCTAATACCTCATGGATTAGCAAATGCTACTTAGAATTAATTTCTCATGTTTAATCATTTTTATGTTCTTATTTTTAGGTTGATGGTAGACTGACTTACCCGTCTTGTGGGATTGGTTATCCTGTCTCTTCTGCATTTGCATTCCAGAATACCTTTCCTCATCCAATATCTGCCAAAAATACTGTCCACCCTGTTTCAGGACCAAAGGTGGATAAGTTAACTAATACTTTTTTGGGATAAATATAACAACTTATTGGCATACAGATATTTTCCATCTTTTAAAAGTTTATTTTCTTTATTAGGTTGCAAAGTATTAGATAATGTACTAGAGGAATACATTACAGGTTGAGATTCTTAATCGAAAAAGTGGAAATTTAAAATGCTCACAAATACAAAACTTTTGAGGGCTGATATGGTTCCACATGTGTAAAATTTAACACCTAATTTCATGTGATGATTTGCAGTCAAACCACTGAAATGGGCCAGTTGGTGGCATGGTGGCTGTATTCAATATGGGCAACTATGCAGTTTGAGTCTCGGAGCCGGCAGCTTGTAAAACGCAGACATGTGTGCGCGTACACACTAAAAATCTTGAAAGAAGGAATAGAGAAGGGATTATTGTAGTGTCACCATGCCTTATTGGGAGTTGCTTTCTGTGTCTCCCTCTCTTGTAAGTGTTGTCTAGCAAAAACCAAAAATAAAAGAACACTGCAATACAAAAATTCTGTACAAAATTACTGTAAGACTATGTGTATATGATGTATGTGAAACATCAATGAATTTCATACCAGATTTAGTTCTTTTCTACCAGGTAATCTGATTTTACATATATATATGCAATTATTCCAAAATGTGTAAAAATTTGAAAGCCAAAATACTTCCAGTCCCAAGTATTTGGGACGTGCAATCGATACTGAATGTTTAGTATTTTAATATGTTAATATGTGTCAGTATTTTATCTAGAGATAACATTACTGACACATATTAACATATTTGTTTAGAATAGTGTTTGATATACAAGTACTGTGTAAATGTTATCTATTATTGATAATAAAATGTATTTAAAAATAGAAATTACAAAGTGAGACTAAAATTGGTTATAAGTCCAATTTATAAGATTTTTTTTTGACCAGCTCCTTTAGTGGTTATGGGGGCCAGGTCCCACATGGCCAACCACGGGTCGAACCCTAGCCCAGGCAGCTTGAAAAACATTCTAAGAGTGTTTGCATACATCCCCCAAAACCTGACAGGATGGAGAAATAAGTTGAAGAGATTGCATTATGGCCATGCCCCATTGGGGATGCTTTCTCTCTCTTTCCTTCTTCTCTTTCTGGTGAGCACACATGCCCTCTGGCAATTAGAGAAAGGTTTTTTCCTCAAACCTCAATGGATTGTTCTAATCACTGCTTACTTTGCTGACCATTGATCTAAGTAATCTGTGCAAGCAGATTCTTTTGGGTTTCAGTCAAAAAAATTATTCCATGAAATTGAATGTGTGGTGTATTTAATTAATGTCTTGAAATGTTACTGTCAAGATTTAATACATTCAAATAGATGTGTAACTGTGAGGATCTAAAATAATATGGGCAGTTAAATTAGGCAAGAAACAGATTACACTGAAAGAATAAATAAAAGAGCTAAAAGATTGTGCTGTGCTGACAAATAGAACACACACTTGATCATTTTAAAACAATCTAGATAAAATAACTTGGTTCTTTGTTTCTGAAGATAATAATAGACAAGGATTCATTCAGTAAATGCCTGCTATAGCCAGGCGTTGTTCTGGCTGCAGAAGATGTAGCAATGAGCAAAACAGACGAAGCCCCTGCCACCTTGGTGCTCAAGCTTTGTGGTAGCATACCATTGGATAGAAGACTAGTATCTTTCAAACTAAACTGTTGTTAAAGAGGTGGTATTTGATGTCAAAGAAAATACTTGTGATTACGTCTCTAGAGTAACTTCTCAATCCTCAAGGTGAAACATGAGCAGATTTCATTGAGTTTATGAAAAATGTATGAGAGGTTTTTTTGCAGTGAAAAAATTTTCACATGATTTATTTATTTATCTTGATAGTGTTTGGTCCACAGTGTATATAGTCAGGGGTGCATTTTATCTAGAGATAGCATTACTGAGGTTTTTGTTTGTTTGTTTTTGTTTTGTTTTGTTGAGAGGTTTTTGCTATAGGGTGCATGCACTCCCAGAAAGACAGAGAGAGACAGAGAGATAGAAAGCAAGAAATCTCCCCCCAGAGGGTATGGCCACACTGCAATCCCTTCTCCTCCATTCTCTTCTCGGGATCTTGGGCACACACACACACGTACCTGGCAATGAGTTTAAGCCACCGGATCTGGGACCTGAACCGTGGTCGACTACATGGGAGTTCAGCAACATAGCCATTACACTAACTGCTGGTCCCAGCATTACTGAGTTTGATTAATCACCTCATTTACTAGATGGTTCTAACTTAAATTTTAGTTATGCGATATGACATATTCTTAAATTAATTAATTCCATTTGTTGTTATTACTTTTTAATTTGACCAGAGAGAGACAGAGAGACAGAGAGATAAAGGGAAAGTGAGAAAGAAAGCCACCTGGTCCAAGACTCAAACCGTGGTCTGCCACGTAGGAATCCAGCACCCTTAACCACCACGCCACCTGCTGGCCCCCAATATTACCTATGTGTGTGTGTGTGCCCAAAATCCTGAGAGGAGAATAGAGGAGACAGGATTGCAGCATGGCCATTCCGTCTGGGGGGCTAATTTCTCACTTTCTGTCTCTCTGGTGAGTGTACAAGCTCTATGGCAAAAAAAAAACCCTCTAAATAAACAGATAGATAACGGCCCAGCTGGTTGGCATGGTCGTTAAGGCAGCTGGGTCCCACGTGGCTGACTGGTGCCAGACCTGGCAGCTTGAAAAATGGGCTGGGCAGGGCTGGCAGGTGGCATGGTGGTCAAGGAGCTGGACTCCCACATGGTCGGCCATGGTTTGAATTTTGGACCTGGCTGCTTGTTTTCTCACTTCCTCTCTCTCTCTCTCTGGTCAAATAAAACAATAATAATAATGATAAATAACATTAATTTAAAAAAAGAAAAAAAAAAACAGAAAAAGAAAAATAGGCTGGACTTGTGTGTGTATGTGCCCAAAATCCTAAGAGGTGAATGGATGAGAAGGGACTGTGGTGTGGTCATTCCCCTGGGGAATGCTTTCTCACTTTCTCTTTCTCTCTGTCTCTCTGGCAGACTCAAACACCCTACAGCAAATTAAAATACGTGAATAAATAATGTATGAGCATGTGAAGCTCAAAGTTACAAGAATATAATATCTAAATATTTCTTCTATGATCCCCTATTCTTTGCTCAGAGAAAAATACTATGATATACTTTTGATATATTTCATTAATATTCAAAGCATGTATAAGAATGAATATATGTTTGTGCATGAATATACATGTTCATAGATGAGGGGACTTCAAAAAATTCATGGAAAAGAGGTATTATGAAAAATCGTACGGATTTCAACTGTTTTTGAACCAAAATGTACGTGTACTTTAAAATTCAGTTTTTCCATGACTTTTTAAGAGACCTTCTGTATATGAGTATTTGTATATATAAATACAAATGGTGTGTATGTATATTTATATGTACATATATTTTTATATTTTTTATATATTCATATATGTACACACACACATACTTTTTGTTTCGTGTTTTTTTTATATTTTTTTGCCATAGGGCCTGTGTGCTTAACAGAGAGAGAGAAAGAGGGAAAGTGAGAAATCACCCCGTGAGGGAATGGCCATGGTGCAATCACTTCTCCATTCTAATCCTAGTATTTCAAGCAAGCATGCACACAGTCTGGCGTGCTTTTCAGCTCATCAGGTCTAGGACTCAAACCCATGGAGTCAGCCATGTGAGATCCAGTTTGTTAATACCATGTTCCCTGGTCCCCG